TCTCTGGCATTCTGGAGAGGTGATGTTGGAATTCCTTCTCCATGTTGATCCTGTAGGAGACTAGACACACTTCTGGGACATTTAGAACATTCCTACTCATAGTAATACCACATAGTGTTAATGTTACAGGAAGAATTACATGAACCCTTCCTTTGCAGTATCTTTTCTACTTCCTGGACTTATTCTTTAACCAGATCTGATATTCATCAGGAGCAGAGCTCTCTTCAGTCAGCTATTGCTAGGTATATTTTACCCAGGCTTAGAAAGACTTGTTGCGCTAAATGCCATACCTAGAAGGGATAGTCCGCAGCAAGGTCTATAGAAATTAACATCGGGCAACAAACACACAGAAGTAGTCACTATGGGCTATTTCTGGAATTTGGTGACTAATTCAAGGCAAGCCCTCCCTGAAATGGGAAAAACAAATTTATCTTTAAGAACTTGCTCAGATCCTGGGATACATAAAGATAAATTAGGGCTGTCATTTTTTTTTTTTTTCAAATCTGGCTGTCACCTAATGTGTGTATAAACCGAGTTGGAAAAATGCTCTCAGATAGCCAGCTTTGCTATTTGTGACAATGAGGAAGGGAGAAGCATACAAGGAATTGTAGAACACAGACATTTAATTTCAGCAGATTCCTTTTTTTTTTTCATTCGTAAGAAAAAATCCCATAGAAAATGCAGATTAAAACATCTCTTTCTAATTTCTCCCAAGTGCATTATTTGGAGTAGCCCGGATAAGGTAAGAGAAAGATCAATTAAATGTTCAACAATGGTGTATGGTATTAGGCCTGGTTGTTTTTTGTTTTTTCCCCCACTTACTATCCACTAACATTTCCATTAGGCTGTTAACAATAGTTAATTATTTAGAAACTGGCATTAAGAATGTAGAATTAGGATTTTTAAAATTAGGCAGTATGTACATTTCTAATCTTCCCTTTTTATTAATACTAGGCAGAGATGCCATGGTGGACTGTTTTTGTGTCAAAGAAGGCAATGATTTTGGCAAATGTGCATTTAAAATAATACAAAATAAATGCAAGTACTTATAATAGGAGGTTTCCAATTCAGAGTCAAATCTTCCTCTTTGCAAAATACCAATGGGAAACTTTCTTGGGACATTTGAATCTGACTTGGAGGTGGTAACTAGCATGGCAGTCCTTGTCAGACAGTATGTGTGGGAAGATGGAAGCAAATACTTCTAGTTATCATATACTATTGTTTTACTGAGAGAACAGAGTTAAGAAGTCAAGTTTAAAAGGGAATTAACAGGCTATGAGATTAGATTATATGTGCAGTTGAAAAGGTTAAGAATTTAAGAATTAAGTTCTGTTTTCCTGGAACCTGAAACTCATGTAGAAGTTGAAAACAACTCCCGGAAAAGCCCACTGATCATCTGGTTGCTCTACGAAAACAACCCCTCCCAGAAACAGTGCAATGATTGGCTATGCTGTATGTGAAGTCCCTGCCCTCTCCAAGGAAAGTATATAAGCTCTGCTTAAGCTGTTCCCGGGGCTCTCTTTGCTCTATTCAAGTGAGCTCTGAGCCCCAGCATGCTGGACTCCCAATAAACCCTTTGCTGTTGCATGAGACAGTCTCTTGGTGGTCTCTTCCTCCGACACTCGCCCAACCTTTACACAGAGTTGACCTACAAAATATCAGGTTTGTTTGTGTTTAGGAACTTGTTTCTGCTTTGGGTGGGAGTATACTACATAGACAATGCTTAGTAACAGGGCCATCCTGTAATAAATCAATAAAAATTATATTTCTTAGCCTTTTTATAAAACAACAAAAGAAAGCTAACCAAGATCCCAAACTAAAAGAAGCTTCCCATGTAGTATATTAATTACAGTTCTCCCAAGATACAGAAAAAAATACATTGTATGATTAAATGTATATATAAAGAATTGCTCACATGATTATAGAGAATCTGCAGAAACTGCAATGTCCCAGTTGAGGTCTGCAGGCCGAAACCTTGTAAGAGTTAGGAACAGCCAGTGTTTCCGTTAGAAAGTGTTAGGCAGGAGAATTCTCAGACATGGGGGAGGGTCAGCCTTTGGTTCTATTCAGGTCTTCAGCTGATGGCATGAGGCCCACTCAGAGGGCAGTCCACCAATTTAAATATTTCATTCCAAAACATCCTCATAGAAACACTCAGAATAAATATTTGATCAACTATCTGGGTACCCTGTGGCCTGGTCAAGCGGACAGATGAAAATTAGTCATCATAGGAAGCACACACTTCTGGTGCATTATTCTGGAGTTATAATCAGATATATTATATTCACCTATTTCTTCTAAATAAATCTATTTTAAGTTTGCAAGTAAACTTATTATGCCTTGTTTTCAATATCTCCAGAACAGGTCTCCTCAGCACTACTGACATTTTGAGTCAGGTATTTCTTTGTTGGAGCTATACTATAGCACTGCAGAATGTTTAACTGCATCCCTGGCATCTACCTGGTAATGTCAGTCACAATCCCCTCTAGATGCCAGTTGTAACCCCTCCCCCTACAGTTGTGGCAACCAAACATATTTCCAAATATTGCAAATGTCCCTTGTGGGACAAAATTGCCTGTCTGAGAATACTTCTAGACTGGTACTTATGTGACAGTTTGTTAGCAGCTGTTGTGCAATGATGTCATTAGAAATTTGTTGAGTGATTTTATAAATTTTTGCCTTCATTTTTCTTTTTCTTTTTTTAATAATATTTATTTTTTAGCATTTGGCAGACACAACATCTTTGTTTGTATGTGGTGCTGAGGAGCGAACCCGGGCCCCACGTATGCCAGGCGAGCGCGCTACCACTTGAGCCACATCCCCAGCCCCTTCATTTTTCTTTAACCCCATGTGTAGACAGCCTTCTCAGGCATTATAAGCCATATTTTATATTTGAAGTTGCCTTATATCTCATTGTCTTTTCCTATTAGCGGTAAATATACTACATATGAATACAGAATCTGGAAGTTTGGGGGACACAAATATAATGTTCATAACGGTCTCTTTTTTTTTTGGATTTGGCAAGTCAGTAGCAGCTTGGTGGATTGGGCTGGATTCTGACAGAAACAGATTGCAATGTCTTAATTTGCAGATTTGTTCATTCAAAAAATCATGCTTGATATACTTTTTTCCAGATTAGTCTAAGACATGTCACTTGACAGGTAGTTGAATGCTAGTATTTGGAAGATGTGATCCATTTTCTTTTTTACTTGTGACTGAGAACATCTCACTTGTTAGGGTTAAAGGAATAAAAATAGTAGGTAAGGTTAGGCATAGTTTGGATAAAATTTCATTCTATGATGGCTCTTTTTTCTCTTTCCTTTAACTTGCTGGGCTCTAGTCAGGATCGATAATGGAAAACATTTCCCTCAGTTCTTCTGTGTGGCTTTCGGTCTGCAGAGGTGCATGAGTGGCAAGTTACTAGTGTGCCAGAGTGTGAGATTTGCTGGACTTCTATTTGCTAGGCTCTGAGGCTTGACACTTCACAAAATTTGAATGTGGAATTTCATGTGGGATCTGTTTGCTTTAATATCTCTTATTTGCTATATATGCCCGCGTCTCCAAACAGACCAGTTGGTGTCTTGAAGTGAAACAGGAGACCTGGGTTTGACTTCCAATTCTTCTGTTTGAACTAGTGTATGTCCCTTCTGAGATTCAGTTTTACTGTTGATAAAATGTGAATAGTAACATTCTTCCTTCAGGACTATTTCAGTGGTTGGTTAAACAGACAAAGTGTGACAACTGTTACACTGTTTGGCACAAAGTAGATAACCAGTCAACACTATTTAAATGAGTAAGCCAAGAAAAAGAATTTGATAAATAAAATAAAAACAGTACTGCACTTAATTCAAAGAATAAAATAAATATTCATGTGCCAATACCCATATCAATAATTAAATAAATAAGTAAACGGGAATAAGAAATAGTTCTTTCCTACAGAGGAATTCCAATGAAAATATATTAAGAGAGTAAGAGAAACAAACAAACAAAAAATCCTTACAGTAATAATTGTAGCAGAAAAGAACTACCAATAGTTGTTAAAAAAATAGTGGGCAAAGTTTGAGGAAAACTAGATATTTGCAAAGCCTCAAAATATGTTCCCCAAGAGAGAGAGAGATAAATTACAAAGGAAAAAACAGCGACTTTATTGTGGAGAAAACTGGCAGATACCACCTTGATCAGGAGATTAAGGCTGACATGACATCACTGGTAAAAGCCACATTAACATTATGTATCCCCTGACATGATACATTGAGAAGCACATACCACTACTGTGGTTCTGGCCAAAAAATGCATAACTTCAATCAAATCATAAGAAAACAATAGACAAATCCAAACTGAGGGACATTCTGCAAAATGTCTGACAAACATCAAGAGTGTGCAAGTCATGAAAGAGAAGGAAAGAAAGAGAAACTGTCACTATCAGGAGATGTAAGGTCTAAATGCAATATGGAATCCTGGCTTAGAAAAAGGATATCAGTGGAAAAACTGGTGAAATCTGAACAAAGTTTTTGGGTTGTAGTTAACTGTATCATATTGATGTTGATTTCTTAGTTTGGCAACTGTATCATAGTTACTTATACAAGATATTAACATTGGGAGAAGCTGGGGGAAGGGGACATAGGAATTAACTCCATTATTTTTGCAACTATTCTATATGTCTGAAATTATTTCAAAAAAAGTTTAAAAAAAGTAAATGGATAAGACAGGCACAGTTATATTCTCTCATATGTTTACAAATGCTACATCCATTTGTGGCTCTTTCTAGCTACCACTGTCACCCTTCATGCTGGGACCATGCTTCACAGTTTACAGATATGCTCCATGTGTACCATCTCACAGAAATCCTGCAAAATATCATTCCCATTTCACAGCTGATGATACTGAGGTTTAGAGAGGAAGGGGGCTTGCCTCAGGTTACCCAGCTGCTCTTCCTTTTCTTCTGCATATTACAGCAAAGGATAGTTGTAGAGAGAAAAACTCAATCTGTTCAATAAAGATCACACACAAGCTTTCGATTCTTTATTATACAAGGGAGTTGACAAAAGGGGAAATTCATATTGGTCAAAGAATTTCCACAAACATTCCCAATGATCTAATTAACATAATAAAACAATAGCTGATATCCACTGAGTGCTTGCAATGTGAAGCACCCTTAAATATGATGCAAATTCTACTGTGAAACTCTTCATTAGGACAAGGTTAGAAAAGGCCCAGCTTCAAGGATTCTGACTTGCATAGGCTGAGTACTCCCATTTCTAGAAGTTCAAAAACCTCCTTTCTTATCTAAATGAGAGAAAAGACCAAAAAAAAAAAAAAAAAGGTTTAAAATCAAGCAAAGATGGTGAAAACATTCAAACATCTGTACTTCTGGGTATTTACACAGTTGTTATGGCCAGTATCAGAGAGGCACAAGTCCTGATCAACCTGATTCAGAGTTGAAATAGTCACACAAATAAGAGGTATTATAGAACACATCAGTTTCATTAACATGCCATTTGTTTGTACCCATTCAAAATAAAATGCCATATAAATGTGGCTCAAGGACTCTAAAGTGTGCTTTCTATAACCCAGATTATATGCACTATTCTACTATAGGATTTTATTGTCTTAGGATAAATGCTAATGATGTCAATATAATCAGTATAACTGTGATGACAAAAAATTTTGATATCATTTCTCATTATTATAACTAAATAATAGTAGGATATTCAGACTTAATATTATAATTGAAGTCACCAAATAGGGTCTCATGTGTCTAATATAAAATTTGTTAAACTAGTTTTTAGAAGCTGCCTTGTTCAGAGGCAGAAGTATGATTCTATGTGTGTTTTGGGGGAGAGAATAGGGGGTGGGTTGTAATTGAATAGAAGTTGTCTTTTATCCCAAATCGGAGGTTGATAATAACTCACCAATCAATTAAAATCAGGTTTTGTCAATCTGGAGATAAGGTTTTATGGGTAAATTATTCAGCATGTCTGGAGGAGCAATTCCAAGTCTGTTCTATAGTTACTGCCCTGATTTATTTCTGGTTGGTGACTGGCAGCCATGTTTATTACTATGCAAACCCTAGATTGAAAAATTGGCCCCATGGTAACATGGTGGGTGGCAAAATCAATTTTTCACATTATGATTATAATGGATTGTTTTCATAAATATATAATGAGCTAAAGCTCATTTATAAAGGCATTCAATCATTCAATTCTAATCCATTAAGACATTAAGTTACTGGTTTCTGGGGCTGAGGAGATGCTGGCAAAGGTACAAGTTTGTGTCTCTCATTCTCCCACCTTGGCCCAAAGTGCACATATAAGAATGATAGGCAAAGATGATTGTGTGTATGAGGAAGGGCGTAGGAAAAGTGCCAAGTCCTTCAGATCTTCCCATATCTCAAAGGCAAAGTACAGTCGTTGTCCTACTAGGGCAGAGGCCCTTGGTCATTTAATAAGTGACAAAGTGGACTCCCATGTAACACAAAGGATATAGTTCTAAGGAGTTGAGGTGGCCTCCATAATTGTAGTTATCTCAGAGTTAAAAGATAAAAATCATGTCAAAGGCCAGAATGTATTGGCTCTCCATGTCAAAGACTTTATTACCATAAAAAAAAAAAAAAAAGGATTAAAGGCCATTGCTGATTAAACAGTACCTCAGGAATATCCATCATTCTCCTCATCTTCTGATCTCTCCAGTTCCAGTCAAAAATCAGAAACTTTAAGGGGTTCAAAGTAAGGCCACCTGAAAGAGAAAGCAAGAGTTGCTGTAGTAAAAACCTCTGGACATAAGCTTATTAAGATGATTTTTTATTCTGGTTGTTTTCGCTTCATTTGCTGTCTTTTCCCCTAGCAACTAATCTTTGCCCATTAAGTGCTGTCCTTGCCTGATGGAAAGCAAAAAAGCCCTCTGGGACTTCTTTCCTTTCAGTTTTATTATTGCTCCTGAAAAAAAGCAGAGAAGCTGCTCTAGCTAAGCTTGTTGAATCTGGAAGGTGGAGTCTCCTTCCTGAAAGGACTGGATAAGGTGTATTCTGCAGTTAGGCACAGTGGACCCTGGAATCTGCTTGACTTCCAGAGGTAAGTGGGGAGGAGGAGGAGGAACACAGGGTTGGGTAGTTTGTTTTAGGCAAAAAAGGAAGTCCACATTAATTGTTCTATTCAGTCAGATATCCTCTGATGAGGCTGAAAAATCCTCCAAGGCCTCCTTCTCCTCTTTTCCTATCTCTCTGGAAGACAATTATTGAATATGAGGGCTGGAGGAGACCCCGGGATTGTCCAGTCCTCAGGTCTGATTTTCCTACTGCTCCAAGCTGTTGCATGTTGCATGTGCAAACAGTACCTGAAGACCTCCTCAGCCTGAAGCACTTTCCCCAAGCTTTTCCCTAGGCCACTTCAATATTTCCCTCTCTGCTTCAAGTAGCTTTTCATAATTAAAATGCTTAGCAGGGGACAGTGGCAACAATTAGCTTATCCCAGTGACTCAGGATGATGAGGCAAGAGAATGACAAGTTCAAGGCTAGCCTTAGACCTTGTCACAGAAACAAAATAAAAAGGGCTGGGGATGGAGCTCAGTGGTAAGAGTGCCTCTGGTTTCAAACCCCAGGACCAAACCAAACCAAACTAAACCAAAAATAAACAAATAACAAAACCCCCACAAAAAAACCAAAATGACAACAAGAAAACAAACCAACAAAAAACCTCAAACCAACAAATGAACAAAACTACATTTTATTTAAATCTCTCTCTGCAAAAGAAAAATGCAAATGGAAAGCTGGGAAAGAATGGGTTGATGGCCAGTCTTCTCTTAAAAATAAGCAGTGGAAGAGCAAATTCCTCTGTAGAAAAACTGGGCACTACGTAATAAGAGCTTTAAAACACTATTTGACAAGTAGTTTTCCTTCCATAACATCCCAGGGAAAACACAGAAACCTAAACATAGTCACTTGTAAAGATGATCACAAAAAATTAGAAAATAAAACCAAAAATCCTGTCATAAAAAAACTGAAATGGGACCTGGGGCGGGGGTGGGGGGAGGTTTTGGCTCAGTGGTGGAAAGCTTGCCTAGCATGTGTGAGGCACTGGGTTTGATCCTCAAAACAAAACAAAAACCTGAACAAAACCCACAACAGTATAGTTTTTCAGTAGAATGCTATAGAGATATCACAAGTGAAAAACTAAACCTAGTCATGAAAGACATGAAATATATAGTAAGTGAAAAAAGTAGGCTGCAAAGTTATAAGCTGTAGTACTAAATGCATAAATGTGTAGAAAAAAGACTGAAGGGAAAGACATTCATTATAACTAACGAGATTATCTCTATAGTGCCTTATTTTCGTCTCTGTCCCTTTTTGCATTTTTCATATACTCTTCTAGTCAGGAAATCCCCTTCATTATTAAATTATAACAACAAAATTCAGTCTCTAATTGTACACATTCCACTGTCAGGGGATATGGTTCAATGTCTAGAAACTCTCCTCTATATCTAACATCATAAACATCTTGTTAAGTCATAAACAGCTATTTAAAATGCATTATGTGCCATTGGTCTTGCTTTGTTAGACTTCTAGTTTCTAGAGTGTGAGGGTGGCTGTTCTTTGCATGCAGCTCAACACCTGATGCTAATGAATATTAAATATCTTATCAGATTCAGAAGTAAGTTATTTTCATTAATATACAACATCAACAGCTCTTAAATGATTTTCCATATGAATTAACCTTCACATTTTCTCCCAACTCTGTGGAAATCTAATTTCAACAGTCTGGACAGCTTCTTTCAAAATATAGAGAAAAATGGCCCTGTTGCATGGGTGGCAGGGTAAAAGGGTTAATCTGGTAACACAAAAACTGTCTTGGATTCCAGGAAAAGGGTAGGTGAATCTTTAGCTCAAGCAGGAACAAACATGAGTGTCTAGCCCTGGCCTCTCCTAATGCCTAGTCAATCTGTCCCAAATCCAAGTCTCACAGAAGGACTATGATTGCTATCTCATTTTTTTCTTAGCTTTCAATGTTGTCCCAGGTACCCAAGATAAAAATTCAAACTCCTCAGTTTACTGTTCAAGGTCCTCCCTCTCCACAATCTGACTTTTCTTCCAATGGAATCTTCTACTACTATAGCTCATAAAGTCTCTGAGCAAGAAAGTCAGTTTCCTTAATGAAATGAACTAGTATTTTTTAAGTACTTAGGGTGTGACAATCATTGTGCTGAGCTCTTTTATTTTTCTCTTTCCACATTTTTTATTGGTGCATTATAGTTGTACATAATGATAGGATTTGATGTTACATATTCATACATGCACAAAATATCAGTTGACCAATTATCACTCCCCAGCACTCCCACCCCTGCGTCCTTTTCATCTATTGATTTTTGATTTTCATGAGATCCATGCCCCACTCCCTCATTTCTTTTTTCCTCTCTAGCTTTCACATGAGAGAAAACATGTTACCTTTGACCTTCTGAATTTGGTCTCTAGTTCCATCCATTTTCTTGCAAAGGACATAATTTCATTTTTCTTCAAGGCTGAATAAAACTCCATTGTGTATATAGACCATATTTTCTTTACCCATTCATCTGTTGATGGATACCTAGGGCTGGTTCCATAGTTTGGCTATTGTGAATTGTGCTGCTATAAACATGGGCATGCATGTATCACTGTAGTAGGATGACTATAATTCTTCAGGGTAAATACCAAGGAGTATTATATCTGGGTCATATGGTGGTCCCATGGCTAGTCTTTTAAGGATCCTCCACACTGATCTCCATAGTGGTTGTACTAATTTACAATCCCACCAGCAGTGGTTTGGGATTGTATATTAGTACAACCACTAATGACAGGAATAATAATAGTATCTACCTTAGGGATTGTTATGAAAAATGAAGTGCCGATAAAGAGCTCAGCACAGGAGAGTGTTAGCTAGTCAGGATGCTGTGAGCACTGAATGAGACAGCATACAAAAGTGGGAGTTCCTTTTTCTCCACATAGTCTCCTGTGCTGAGCTCTTTATTGGCACTTCATTTTTCATAACAATCCCTGAGGTAGATATTGTTATTATTCCTGTCATTCAGATAAAGAAATAGGCTTAAAAAGGTTAATTGGCCAAAATCACAGAGCTGGTAAACTGCTGGACCTGGGCTTTGAATTCCAAGGTCTGAAACCTTACTAGGGGCTCTTTATCTCAGCACTATATTGTTTACTTACTGTCTCCTCTTGGTGTACGGTGTGGACCTGCCTGTCCTTTTTTGAGTGGGCTCCTCTCCATAATTTCAAGATCAGTTAAAGATCCTTCCTTGCAGGGTCAGGCCTCTATAATAATCTCTCCCTCATTTCAAATCTTACAGAACTTAGTGATCATTTGGCTCTTGGCATTGACTGCCTCATGTTGTCAAACTCATTCTGTGAACATTTAGCTCTTGAACTGGGTCATGAGTTCCTTCAGGGAAAAAGGCTGTGGAACCAGGGAGGCCTGGACTGAACGACCTCAGGGATTGCTTAAACCTTCTGAGGTTCAGTTTTCTCTCATTGAAAAATAAGAGTGTTAGCCAAGAATGAGATAGCATACAAAAGGATGTCTAGCATTAAACTAAGTACAAAGAGGAATTCAATAAATGTATGTTTCCCTTCCTTGTTGGAGGCTATTTAGTCTCTTTCTTCTTTGCATTTGCATAGAACTCTGCATACGGTTGGGTTTAGTTAACAATGGATGATTTTCATCTAGAGAGAAACCAGTCTTTGGGTTGTTTCTGAGTAAATGCCCATCTCTGTACTCAGTTACTATATTGATGAACATATACTTTAAGATATATACAATAATCTAGGAATAGCTCCAGACACTTATAAAACAAAGTTCTATTGCTACATTAAGTAAGTAACTTAGAAGTAAGTAATGAAAAGAAATCATTAAGTCTGTCTGGTTGGCAGAATAGGTAAAAAGATCATCAACAGGTTAGCAGGTTCTCAGGCTATTGGCTTAAAGAAAGTCAACAACATATAAAAAATTCACTGGGAGCTGCTGTCTGGAATACTTTCTGAATAAAGGACTAAAAGAGAAATGCATTTGGATAGGAATAATACAGAATATCTCTATTTTATCTATAGAAACTGCATTTTTTTTTTGTCTCAAAGTTTTATATACCAGCCCTCAAACAGAATGGGAATCTCAGGGAACTAAGGAATCAATTAGCTGGGAGGCAAATGGTCAATACATCCAGCTCCACAAATTCCAAAGATTGCAAACTGGTTGATGAAACCTGTTGGATCTACTAACCTGACTAGGATTTGAATGATTTCGGTGGGCAAATGCAATTCAGTTTATCACAGACCTTATCATTCCCCATTACATTATCCTCACTGGCTGGCTTCAGAGACTGCAGGATAAGTTTCCCACTGGGGAATTAACTTAGAGGTCTGGTTTCTCTATATTCAAATGCAGTTTCCTAAACTCACATGGGGATAAGGCAATTCCTAGTTTTGGGTAAAAGTATCATTGCCTTTTTCCTACCTTGTTTAATGAGCTCTTTAATTCTTCCTGGTGTTCCCACACCCAGGTGCACCACACGCTTCTCCAGTAATTTTACCTGCTCTTGAACCTGCTCCAAGATGGAAGAGAAGAGAGAAAAAGAAGAAACATTAAGGAATTGCAATTATAGGCCAATTTAGAGCATTTTAACTCATAGTTTAAAAAGAGAAGCGCAAATGAGGTTACTGGTGTTTAGGATCAAGTTCCAGGGCCAAGAAAAAAACTTCCCTAGAAAATTGGCAAACTCTCAAAGAATCCAGGAATCAAGCCTCAGTGGCTGTATAGGAATGGAATATGACAGAATAATGACTGCAGAGGGGGGAGGATATGCAGAGGCATGAAATTCAAAGAAAACCAGAATGGTTGCTAAACATGTCATATAAGCAAGCCACCAAAGAAAACACTAAGGACATTAGGAGAAGAGTTTGAAGAAAAAAGCTGAGATATGGCAGTAGCTCTTAGCAGTGACTTACATTTCTTATCAGGAACCATAAAGTTAGCTTACCTTTATGTGTTTTGCAAATAATTTCATAACTTTGCTGTCTCCTCGGAATGCTGTCATTGATCTAATGAAAAGAAATAGATTAATGTTTAAGAAAACTCACTCATTCTGGACTGTGTTGACTACTAAGTGTATTCAAAGAATGTGTGTGTGTATATATGCACATACATACACATGTGTATATATCCACCAAGTTCTGGAATTTTCAGGTTAACCCTTTTGCAATGAAATTGGGGTGGCCTGCTGGACTCAATAGTGGTGCCTATAATCTCAGCTACTCTTGGGCTGAAGAAGGAGGATTGAGAGTTCAAGGTCAGCCTGAGCGATAATGGCCCTGCCTGAAAGGAATCAGAAATTGGGGTGGCCTTTTATTCAGGCACATATCTGTGGTGACTTCTAACTTTCATACACAAAGTTAACCTTACTAAGTCTTCCTTGATTACCGAAACACATAGATTTGCCCTTCTCCTATAATATAGACTTTCCACATTTCAGGTTCCTGGCAGTGTAATTCTCACACAAATTTTGATTGCACAAGAAATCTTGGAGCTGTGCTGTCAACCTGGGCTCTCTAGAGCACTTGAAATATAGCACCTGAAATTCTGTTTTGAGTGGGCATAAATGAACCATCTTTTAACTGATATTTGGGGATAAACCCAACATAGGAATATTGCTGTTCTTTATATATTATGATGTTTTGAGAAATATCATTGACCAAGAGGAACACGAAGTTTGCAAAATAGTGAATTGTGCTATGCAAGTTCTATTGCATGTGAGTTTTTACATACACATAAACTTTCTTCATGTTAAGGTCAACTAGGAAGGCAGTTTAACATAATTCATGGTTCCCAAGAGAATAGATGTCATAAGAAAAGTTAGAATTATGAATTGGGCTTGTTGAGCCTGCTCAAAAACAAATTTACAATTCATTTAAACTTGAAATGGATCGTAGTATTATCAGGGACACAGAAAAATAATGAGAATTGGTACAGGACTTTTATGCCCCTTAGAAAAGAATTTATATACAGTAAAAGCTCAAATCAATTTGACAACTTGCTTTTAAGAGGTCACCTCTAAGTCAACGTCTTTGCCATTAACATTTCAATCTGAAATAAGTTCTGAGATGGTAGTTTTTAAAGCAATAAAAAGTCAATGTGAACTGCTGTGATCTCAGGACCAGGAAGTACAGGTGCCCAGAATTCAGAGTTTAACATCAATTATGTTTGCATCAGAAAGAATTGAAAGGAATACTTTGCTTCACTGAGTGGGTAGATGATACCATTTTATGTGTATGCATAGGTGGGGGAAAGGAGAGTTTAAAGGACTATAAAGTTTACTAACTATTTTTCTAACTCATGATTATATTAGTTCATTTAGAAAACTAGATGCTAAGTATCTACTGAGTGCCCACATTTGCACCTTTGTCCATATGACCAAGCTCATTTTTCTTCATGAGTTGGATTTTCCTTTGTTTTGTCTCCTGTCAAAGCCTGGCTCAGAGCCTGGCGCCCAGAGAGAGCTGTTCCTAGTGCATCCTGTCTTACTCTGTTGACTCTTCTCTGAAAGTTAAATGTTACCACTTAACCAGTGGAGACATTTGTGTTTATTCTACAAAAATACAGTAAGGTATGTGAGAGAACTTAGTAAAACATTGACAAATTATTTTTAATATATAATTTTTATATTCAAATTTTTGGTCCATTTGAGCTTTATCTTGGTGTAAGAAGTAAGATATGAATCTAGCCTGCCTTTTCCAGATGGCTAGCCAGTTGTTCCAAACCAATTTATTAAATAATCCATCTTTCTCTGCTGATTTCTAGTTTGTCACCTTAGCTATATATTATATTTCTATAAGCATTTGTCTGTTTCTGAACTTTCAATTCTTTTCTACTGTTCTGATCTGTAATACAGGTGACATGTTTTGATTATTGAGACTTTGTAATATATACATTTGTAATTGAAAGGGATAATATCTTCTTTAGTATTCTTTTTTTTCAGAATTTCCTTGCTAATTTTGAGTTGCATACTTTCTTATATGAATTTAGAACAAGTTTATCTAGTTTAAAAAACAACTCTACTGAAGTTGTATGGGAAACTGAAATTTGTACATTATCCTAAGTAAAACAGACATCTTTACAACATTGAGTCTTCCTATTCAAGTATACAGTGTAACTTTTTCTTTGTTCAAGACCTTTTGTTGTATTTGATATTTTCTTTATGTAGATTTTGGTAAGTTTATTCCTTTGATTCTATCTTCTCTTATTATTTTGAGTCCAGATCCCTTCTAATTTTCCTTCTAACTGGATGTTGCTGGTATAATCTCATGCTTCTATACACTATATCCCCACACAGCAGCTAAAGTAAAGTGATCCTTTAAAATGACAACTCAGATCACTGGAATACGCTGCTCAGAATCCTCCAGTGGCATCCTACCTCAGGGTCTTTTGTGGATAATGTCTCTTCTACCTGGAATACTCCTCTCAGCTAAGTGCTTGGCTTTTTCCTTTACTCCATTCAAACCTTTGCTAAAATGTCATCTCCTTAGAAGTTTTCCATGACCAATCTTTTACAGAGTCCCCATTCACTTCTATCCCTTTGCTAAGCTTTGCTTTTTCTTTATATAACTTATTAATATACCTGACATTATGATGTCTACTTATTTGTTTATTGTCTCTCTCCCCCACTGGAATGTAAATTTCATGAAGGCAAGGACTTCATGAAAGTAGTTTTATTACTACTTTAAGTCCAGCACACAGAGCGTATCAGGTTGGCATCTATCAGTTAATCAGAAAGCATTTATGAAGTAGAGTTGGAGAAACTTCTACCTGATGAGCTCCAAGGCTCGGATGGCAGAGCTGCAGATGATCAGCATCAGTACAGATTTCTTCTCACTATGGTTTCTCCGAAGTTTTACCCACTTAGGGCAGACTAAAAAAAAGAGCATGTAAAATTATTCTGAATATAGTAAATTAGAGACCCCAAATTTGCATATTCTCCAATTACCTCTTATTAGTGTTTAAGCAAAATGAAATATAATGTACACTAATAATTATAATTCTATTTTCTGATTATTCTAGATAGTAGATCAAAATGACATGTCATTAATTTACAACACAAAACATATAATATGCCAAGCACCTAAATGTGATTAGTTTTAAAACTAAGTAAAAAAAGTTTAGACTAACAAATTTTCAGTATTTTATGATTGATAATTGAAAACAACATTGATTAAACAGGAGAATTCTGGCCCAATAATGTTAGGTTTAAAGAGGTGCCCAGTGTAAGACATAAAATACAACTGACATTTAAATAACAGCCAACATTCCTTAAACATTGTGCTAAGCATTTTGTATGTTTTTTCTTTTTTTTTAGTTCTTATAAAGCAGTGAGTTTGAATATATTATTATCTAGATTTACATTGCTGAATTTGTTGCTGAGAAAAGTTTTTTCATCAGAATTGCTTACAATTTAAAAGAAAAATGTTAAATCTCTGTACCTAAACTAGTTCATTGGTGGCCATACATAAATGACAACTTGATATGAATAATCCATGGCTATGCCCAATAATACTGAAATGATTAAAACAGATTGACTTTGTAACTGGTCTGAATTCTCAACATGTGAACAGACTTTCAGGATCTCACTGCTGGTATAGCATTCACACAGTCCAATTTCCTTATCTTTCAGGTAACAAAATCAAGTTCAGGGAGTTCTCAATGACTTGTCCCTGGTCAAATAGCAAGTTACTGAGGACATGGGAATAGAACACTATTCTTTGGTTCCTAGACCAATATTTCTAATGTGGACCTTTATTTATTTATTTGTTTATATATGGTACTGAGAACTGAACCCAGTGCCTCATACATGCTAGGCAAGCACTCTACCACTGAGCTACAACCCCAGCCCCAGGTTAATAATTTTTTTAAAGACCAAAGGTAACTTACTTTCTTTTAGGTATGACGAAAGACTGTGAGTCAAATCATTGGCTTTGAGGAAACAGGAATCTAGAAATATGATGAACAAGCTTTGTAGAGAATTTTGCAAACACACAACCACAAGAGATTAAGTATGAATGATATATATTTGAACAAGTTATAAAACATCAGTGAATTGTAGAATCACTATATATTTTAAAGCATCCTTTAATATTTAAAATAACAGTAGCACAGAAGTAAACTTTTAAAAAACCCTCTATGGAGCTGCTCATCATTTCTTAGAGTATTGAAACGGACACTTTGTGTATTATTCAGCAGAGAGATGAAGCACCTTTGTTTTCCAAATTCATAGAATAAGCAATATGCAAAGGCAAAAGGAAATGGCCAAAAAAGTTTGAGAGATGCTCAAACCCACTAACGATCAGAGAACTACAAATTAATACAATGATGAGACACCACATTCATTTAGAATGGCAAATGTTAGAAGATGCATAATACCAAGTGTTGTTGAGAATTCAGGGTGATTGGAATGTTTCCATGGAGGATGGAAGTGTAAACTGGTATACTTGTTTTGAAAATTAATAATATGAGGATTATATACCCTATGATACCCTGATTTCATTTCTGGTTAAATAATGGAAATAAATCTGTGTGGTTTATAAAGGGACATATACAGGGACATTCATCATGGCAATATTTGTGATATGGAGAAGCAGGAATAACATAGTGTCCATATCTTGAAAAACGGATCTACAAATGTGGTAGATGAAAACACTGGAATACTATGTAGCATTTGGAAGTGATAAATTAGATGTGCATGAAGCCATAAGGCATATCTGGAGAAGTGTGAAATGAAGAAAAAAAAAAACACAAAGAGAGGATCAATACAAAGTCATTTAGATAAGATTTTAAACATATACACACAACATGACATATTTTGTAAGAATACATACATATTTAAAATGTATAGTAACATTGGAATGAATGTCTACGAAGAAAGAAATCTAGTGTGGATTTGGGAAGAATGGAAATAATGCATCAAAATACAATGTCATGATAAAAAACAATGTAATACATTAAAATAAAACAGAGCCCTTGTTGACCAATGGCTGTCATGGGCTATCAATTATGTAATACTTTTAACTGTTTTCATGAGATGCATAAAAAAGCAACATTATGCTTATTGTTATGGTTTGGATGTGAGATGTCCCCCAAAAGGTCATGCAAGACAATGCATGGCTTTGGGATAGACATTTGTGTCTGGCAAGTGGAGTGTCTTTTTCTGTTTCCTGATCATTGTGTGAGCTGCATTCCTCTGCCTCACTCTTCTACCATGATGTTCATCCTCATCTGAGCCCCAAGGAATGGAGCCTGCTCTCTATGGATTGAGAAGTCTGAAACCATGAGCCCCCAAATAAACTGTTTCTCCTCTAAGATTGTTCTCGTTGAGTCTTTTAGTACCAGCAGTGAAAAAGCTGACTAAAACAGTTAAAAACCTGATTCTATAAAAAAGTTTCTCTGTAAATATAGCAAGTGTTAGGAGGCAAAATACTTCTAAATTTGTATTGTGACACCAGCGTATATAACTCACAGTACATGAGTAACTAACTTCAAAGATGTTGCCTATTATATGTTCTAGAGCCGTTGTTGGTTTCTGCCACTGCCATTGCCACTGTATTTTTCTAAGCTTGGATACAATGAGACTCACTTGGGGAGCTTTACAAAAGATATAGATTCCTGGGATGGACTTTCCTTGGTACAGTGTCTCAAAATTCCTTGAGAGTGGGCTTGGGCTGCATTTTAAAAAGTTCCTTGGAGATTCAGTTGCAGCTAGCCTTTAGGCATTTAGGATCATGGATGTAAACTACACTGCAGCTCTCAGGCAACAGCAGAGCTAATTAGCTCCTAGAAATTCTGGCCTCAAAACCCTAATTAAGTGCCATGTGTGTGATATTAACAATGCACAGTGCACAAGACTAATTGAAAAGACATGTTCCCTCCCTGCAGACACAAACAACCTCAAATTAAAACCAAGTTAGATACATGACAAACTGAGTAGGAACAATATTTATTATTTATATCCACCTTATACTTATGCCCTTCCTTGTGCCTGTTCCAAATAACCCATGGCATCTCCCTGCCCTCACCTAGCATAAACTTCCTTTCTGTCCTTGGACTCATCTGTGCAGTGACCAGGGCCCTTTCTCCTAAACCTTCCAATGATGCCTTAGTTTACTGTGTCTCAGAATAGCCTAATTTCTTAACTGAAAATGAAAGCCTGTTTCTTAGGCTATATTTCTAAGATATTTTTTCCTCTGTAAATAAACTCATGACTCCACATTCTTGTCTAATTTTGTTACTGAACTCTAATAAAACAATAATATAACCCAAACTCAATACAGAACCTAGATGAGTTTTTAAAGTTTTTTTCTGATCTTTAGCTCTTAATTCTAGAGAGAATCGAGGTTTATGATATTCTATAAGGTTACAAAATAGCAGCAGTCCCATTAACTCATGAATCTTTCCTGAGTTTTAAAAGTATGTACTAATGAAGAACTAGCAGGGAAAACTGACTAGTGAGTCACATAAAAATAAAATTTTAGCGAAAGCTTGAGAGGTGATTTTGTTGTAGCACTTGGTTCCTGTGACAGAGCAGTCAGGACATAGCTCTCATGCCAGAGAAGCTGGAGTGGAGCTGTCTGGGTTCAGTAAGCCCCAAACTCCAAAGCTTGCTCATGTGCATATGCACTCCTTCAATTCCCTTCAGAGTAATTTTCTTGGAAAAGAAACAGGGCACTCATGTCTTCAAACCCCTATACAGTTCAAAAAAAGCATATCACAAAATAATTATAAAAATCCAGGGAACAGACTGTTTTTCAGCTTCTCAAGCTTCTAGAAAGCATAAAGTTGTAATGGAGAAAGAAAATCAAACTACTCTTGGCTTTTTCCAAAAGTAGTATTAGCTATTCCTCATAGTCTATAAATAACTCATCTGAACAGAGGTATTCAAACTTTCTATGGTTTGCTTTTATGACAACATCTATTTTCTGCCAGGCTTGTGCAAAAGTGTTGAATGTAACATAATTTTGAAATCAGTTATTTCAATAACTAAACATACATTTTAATTATAAATACTCAATAGCAGTAGATCTCAAAATATGGCAGACTTAAGAATCATCTGGAAGAGATGTTAACCTTACTAAAAATTCAGAATTTGGTTACGTCATTTAGACAGTTTGCTTGAAAAAATCTGGAAAACTACTTGAAATACTACTCTTTTTTTGTGTGTGTACTTGGGATTAAACCCAGGAATGCTCTATAACTGAATTCCATCCCAGTCCATTTTAGTTTTTATTTTGGCCCAGGTATCACCAAGTTGCTAAGCTGGCCTTGAACTTGCGATCCTCCTGTCTCAGCCTCCTGAGTTGCTGGAATTATAGGCATGAGCCACCATGCCGAGTCTAAAATATGACTCTCAAAAACAAAACCATGATTAGGAAATCCAGATAAACAAAATTTAAAAATTAAGATATTCATTAAGGCTAAAGTTCTTATAAAGGAGAAGTAAACCAAAGTTTCATATCTATACTTTTAAATGTATGCTTTATCTTAATTTAACTTTTATCCTCATTAAGGTCTCTTATTCCTTAAGGAGTGTGCTAAAAAAGACCCAACAATTAGTCTTTTGAGTAAAAAAAAGAAAAAAAAAAGCAACAAAAAAAATTTTAGTTTTAGATTCAACAAATATTGCTTAGCATCTTAATAAAGAAATGTTCAGGAGTTAAAATTGTTAGATTGAGCCAGGCATGGTGGTGCATGCCTATGATCCCAGCTACTGGGAAGGCTGAAGGAGGACTGTAAATTCAAGACCAGCTTGGGCAAGTTAGTGAGACTTTGTTGCAAACAAACAAACAAACAAACAAAAAACAAAAACAGCCACAACAACAACAACAAAACAACAAAAAGGTTTTGCAATGTAGTTGAGTGAATATCCTGGTTTTAATCTGGGCATGGTGGTGTACACCTGTAATCCCAGCAGCTCAGGAGGTTGAGGCAGGAGGATCACTAGCCAGCCTCAGCAAAAGCAAGATGCTAAGTATATCAGTGAAACCCTGTCTCTAAATAAAATACAAAATAGGGCTGGATATGTGGCTCAGTGGTTGAGTGCCCCCAAGTTCAATCCCAGGTACCCCCCCCCAAAAAAACCCAACCCCAAACCCAAAACCAACCAAACAGACAAAAACCCCCAACAACAAAACAAACAAAAAATCTATTAGATTGAGGAAGAAGGAATTAGCAAATGGAAAATATATTACTTCATTGCCTGAGATAGCTAACCATAATGTATAGTAAAGAAACAATAAGCATGTTCTGCTCTTCATCCTTAGGAAAACAGAAGCCTGGCTGTACCTGGTAGGTTGAGTTCTTCTAGTTCAATCACTGAGCGATGGCTGCTATAATAGTCCTTCATTAGCTTCTGTAGGTCTTCTGGTGTCCCTGGTTTGGGCTCTGATTTTGCAAGAACATCAGTAATTTTCTTCTAATATATGAAAGGAAAAACAAAATATAAAGATTTCAGAATGATATTTGGCTTAGGCTTGTTCCTCTGGCATTGAAACTGCACACACCTTTTGGTGATAGCCGAGTGTGAATGTAAGCTCTAATAAATACACTTAAGAAAATTTCCTGAATACTTCCTGGACATAACTATTATTTTGAAAAAATGAAGAGGTGATCTGAAAGGCTTCTTGTGCCTCTTGGTCTATGATTTCTATGAGAACTGAAATTTCTGCATGAGATTCTACAATAGGGTCTTTTCTGTTAAAAGTCAAGAGATTTTGTTGGTATGGAAACCTCTCGTTTACCCTTAAAAGATATCTATCCTTGGAAGAGTAGAATTTTGAGAATTTTTTGCCTAACCTGGTTTTTGAGGTGCCAAGTCTCAGTTTGGATTTCTGGCATTAGAGCTAAACCTGCGGGAGTAATCTGAGCATAGCAGCCTACTGAAAAGAGGACTTTACACCCCTGAGTTTTAAGTCCCGGGAAACTGACAATCTTCAAGTGGTCCTATGGAAAGGAGAAGTGATACTCTAACAAGAAATGCTTTCCCACATCTATTTTGATTTGGATTCATTTGTGTACTTGTGCAGCAATTCTATTCAATGTCTGCAGTGTACTGGGAACACACAACTGTTTATTTCATTTTCATCATAACCTTTCCTTCTCTCTTCCTTCTAATGTTTCACCAAAGATCCAGAAGGAGCCATTCCCCATCCCCCACTCCAGTTCCTTTCCTTCCTTCCCTAATATCCTCATTTCTACCCACTGCCAAGAATGATCAAGGTTCTGTCAAAGGAATTAACATTTAAAAATATGTCATCAGTGGGCATATTTTAGCATGACCTCAGCCAAGGCTAAAATATCCAGCTAGAGTTCTGACCTTGAGCCACAGAACTTAACACTCCTCAAGGCCATTAGTGTACAAATTATCAAAAAGAAGTTAAAGTCACTTCTTTAAGGACTTGCCAAACCTCAGCCAATTTGGCACCTCCTGTCTTCCTATTTGGCCATTTGTAAGAAAAGAAAAACATGCATGCACACTCTCAGTTTTCTAAAAGCTTGCTGTTAAGTAACTGGTTTGAGTTCATCTTCTTTCCTCTAATCCCAATCATATTTCCTCTGCTGACTACAGCAGTAGACCCTTCTTGGCAGGGAGAGAATTACGCTGCTGTTTTCACAACTGTGATGGAAAGGTGAAAGCCAACCATATTTTCTTAAAGGCTAAGCCATAAAAAAGTTGTATAGGAGCAATAAAGTCTTTTTTATGTTCAGAGGCAAATATTAAAATGGAAGGGGAACTTTTGCCTTAAATTATGGTTCCAAATTTGAGTCAGAAATGCCTTATGCTACCTTCATTTGTTTATTTTTAAAATTAATATTCTAAGGCATAGGGTCTCAAAATCTGGAATAAGTAGGAAAAGAAGGTCAGTTTGGGGGACAGAACCAGAGGGATCAGGGCAGTGTGGGAGGGAATAGCTCTAGGCTCCTTCTAAGTTAGAAATGCAGATCTGACACCTCACCACAACGAAAACACAGGGTGGATCACAAAGATGTTTGGTGCTCCACAGACTGAAATAGCAATCAGAAGAATTTATTTTTAGCCCCAACAGGAACACATTACTAGTGACCTTGGGGAAGTCACCAAACCTCACTATCTTAACGATCTTAATGATCTCTGTATTTTTAAAGTGGGGACTATAATAGTTATGACACATAAACATGTGATGGAAACCACATGGGGACATATCACCACAAGATATTATTAATATTACCTTTCTCCTCTTTCTGGTCTTTTTGGCGTCTTCTTTTATTTCCTTTGGTTTTATCAAGAAACATTCTTTAGGCTATAAAGAAACACAAATGAGGAGATGTTCATCTTCACATGATGATGTGTCAATGAATGGTATGAATCTCAATGAATTTTCTGCTCTGCATGTATTCCTCAGAGTACCTTGGTAATATTCTGCAGACTGAGATGCTGGGAGACCCACTGGAGCTTATTATGCAGGAGCAGAGCTGAGAGAATTTGAGAAAGTCAGGAAGTGTGAATGACTTAAGACTGGAAAATCTTTGAACAAATATCAAAATGCCTGGGTGAGTGTATATGTGTGCTGGATATGTGCAGAGCATTAAAGATGGAAGACAGTGGCCAGTTTGTAAAATAGAGGCAAGAAATAGATGTGATTAAAATTATGATGTGGCAAGACAAGCCTTTGACTAGAGTGAATGGAGTTTTCCATGAACTGGCTGTGTATGAGCCTGCATTTTCAAGTCACTGGTTCATTATTCTGTATTATCAATTCCTTCTCTCTTTTCCATAAGCACAGAAAATCCAAAGTAGGATATATTTACTTATGGTTTCATAAAACCAGCTGTACCAAATACTTTTTATAGTGACTACAAAATTAATGTCTCTGCTAATGGTCTGATAACAGTCTCAGCACCACAGCATATAAAGTAATTTATTTTGCCTGTTGCCTTGACCCCTGAGCACCCTATACAGCTCAATGCTATTTTTATCCTGAGGTTTTTTTTTTGTTTTTTTTTTGAGATTGAAAACAGGAAATTTGGACTAAGACCTTGATTTATAAAATAGAATGCCTCAGATTCCATATTTATTGATCATAAGCAAGAATATAAAATGTTTCCTATGCTGGATCTTCTATGCAACATTTTCCAACAGGTTGCCAAGTATAAAGGTATAAAATGTAAGTAAAACATTCTGAGTTTTACCTTGAAAACTCAGTTTCCATTCCAACTAGAGTGTATTCTATTTAAGCTGGCAAACCACTAACTAAAGCAATCTTGTCTCCACTGGCTCTGTTTAAAATGATCACAGATGAATCTTTCTATTATATGTTTGCAGACAGCCTGCAGATTAGGAAAGCCTATGGCCTCAAATCAGACAGAGAGATATAATACTATATAATTTCTTCAAGACATTAGGCCAAGGACCAGAAGTTTCTAGACTGTTTCAGTTGGTAAAGAAGCAGATTTAAAAGGTTCAAGATTAAAATAACCTGGGAGGGGCTGGGGTTGTGGCTCAGTGGTGGAGCACGTGCCTTGAATGTGTGAGGTACAGGGTTCGATCCTCAGCACCAAGTAAAAATAAATGAGGGTATTGTGTCCATCTACAACTAAAAAAAAATTAAAAAAAATAACATGGGAATCTTGAAATTTTAGCTGCTTCTCACTTAAAAGGAGAAACCTGCAAAGAGCAATTGCATCATAGCAAAAGAAAAGAAAGATATCATGGCCTTTTTAATGTAGAAAGTTAAGCTGGATTGTGGATGGATGTGGATTCATGTCAATTTGATGTTGGTACATGCTAGCAAGAAACTGGGTCAAGGCCACCAATATGTCACAGAAGCTGCCAGATGTTCAGAAGAGTCTAGTTACAGACCAGGCTAATGTTTAGCTCATGCTCCTCCAGCAGAGGCCTGGATATGATTAGCAAATCTCTTAAGGCATATATAATATTTCTTCACCAGTGTCAAGGCTTTTGGGAAGCAGATTTAAAAACCTGTTAAGTTTTCTTATTTAGTATATGGAGATATTCTCTAGGAATATGTTCAATGTGCACATTGAAATTATGCTAGAAAGATGATTAATTCAAACATGACATAAATTAACTTGAAAAATCAGCTCAGCTGTAAAGATATGGACTCATTTAATGATGTTTACTTTATGGAGACTGGGGAAGAAGATGTGGCAGACTCAGGCCAAACCACTAACAATTTCATAAAATCAATTCCTATAGGATGTGACTTTGACAGTTGACACATAATGTCATTTTTTTTTATGGCAATGTCAATATGTAGTTTGAAGAATCATATGTCCCTCAAAGTGTACAAAAAACATGGCCTTGCCAGGCATGGTGGCACATGCCTGTGTAATCCCAGCGGCTCAGGAGGCTGAGGCAGGAAGATCCCAAGTTTAAAGCCAGCCTCAGCAATTGTGAGGCACTAAGCAACTCAGTGGGACCGTGTCTCTAAATAAAATACAAACTAAGGCTAGGGATGTGGCTTCATAGTTGAGTGCCCCCGAGTTTAATCCCTAGTACACAAAACAAAAACAAACAACAACAACAACAGCCTCTAAGTGAAACAATTGGAGCATATTCTCAATTCCTTAAAATATAAAAAAGGGGAGCAGGGGTTGTGGCTAAGCAGTAGAGCACTCACCTAGCATGTGTAAGGCACTGGGTTTGATCCTCAGCACCACATAAAAATAAATAAAATATTGTGTCCAAGTGCAACTAAAAAATATTAAAAAAATAAAATGGCATGTATGTATGTGATACAGTATATATACAATAAATAAAATCAGTTGGAAAAAATATGTGTAAAAAGGTATATCCTTTAAGAATGACTCTCTTGGTTTAACATGAAGAAGCCACCTCCAAATGCCACTGAACAATAAATAAATAAAGGGCACTAAAAAGGCATAAATTTATAAGAACCAAGAAACCAGGAGAAAGGAAGCAGTAGTGGAGAGATTTAAACATTTTGGAAAATGGAAAGTGGTTAGAGTTGGTGGAGGTACTTAGTAGAGAGAGAAAGTTTGCACTGGGGCTTCTCAAGAGGTAGAAGCTAACTGTGAAAAAATCCAGTACTTTGGATGCCAGGAACTATTGAGAGTGAAGATTAGAAAAGAAAGGGACTTGTTGAAAGTGGATATTGAGAATATTTTGCAACCTCCATCCCCCAATCTCCTACTAGGCTGTACCTCCTACTCTGGCAGCCAAGCAACCATCCCATTACTGCTGCCTTTCACCTAGTCCTTCCTGGAAGTACACTAGAGTTTTATTCTCCGGAGAGATGAAGGGGTCCAAGAAGTTTGGCACGAGGGAAAAGAGGACAGAAGTTGAGGTTTACCTCCATTTCCTGAATCTGTTCCATGTTTATGTACTTCAGGCAGAACACTACTTAATTCTTTTCTGGAAAAATGGAATAGCCTCAGAAAAATGATACAAGAAAGTCACATTTGGGCTCCTACAGTAAAAATGCAGCTTTTCATTCTATCACACTATCATGGAGTACAATAATCAACAAACCCTAGTCATGTACAAAAACTTCTCACCAAGTATTTAATGACTCTCTGTGCAATATGAATAGACCACTAAAGTTCATTAGTCATCTATGGAAAGTTTCCAATATGAGAGCAAACAACCAAAGGACAAAACAACCTGGAGGAAAGATGAATGGTACAATGGGACACTTCAAAACAATTACAATTGCTATTCCCAGAGACAGAATATTTTGCAATCATGAAATAAGAACAAGATGCCATAAAAAATCAGAGAACATGTAAACACTAAAACTTATTTAGAAAGTTGGAATAAAATGTAAGAGGAAGGCTTTTAGATAAAAGGTAATCTCCTAGAAAAAGATAAAAATGGAAAGAAAATATGATGAGAAAATTAGAGAATTCACTCAAAAGATTCAACATTCCAATAAAAGGTATTACTGAAAAATAAATTATATGAAATAAGGAAGAAGTGATCAAGAAATAATATAAGAAAAACTTTCCATAACTGAAAGAAACTATCTAGAAATTCTATTGAAATCCCATTTTGAAATCTATTCAAATCCCATTAAATATGCAGTAAATGAATAAGAAAGTATTTTACATGAAGAGCATCAACGTAAAATTTAAGAAAATCATAGATAAAAATAGACTCAAAAAATTTCCCAAAACAAAAATAATATACAAAATACAAAGGATCAGGAAAAATAATGATGTTAACACCTTTCAACTGTATGAATAGATGCTAGAGCTCAATGGAATGATGCCTTCAAAACTGTGGTAAAGATTATTTGTAAATTAAAAGCTTTTATACCCAGCCAAACTATTAATCAAGCATAAGAGTAAGATAGAGACATTTTTCAGAAAAATAAGGTCTCAAAAATTTTACTTCCCACTCACAGATATCAAAGGCTTTATTCCAGAAAAAAAAAAAGGCTAAACCAATACAAAAAAAGATGGGATTTACCAAAAAGGGTGTCCAACCCCAGACAGTATTGAAATGGCATCCTAGAAAATAATTAAGTGGTCTCAATTGCTTGATGGGCCTAGATAATAGCCAATTTAGAGTGGAAAAAATGACTGATCTATTTGGGTTATGGAAAATATTATTCATAGGCATGTGGAAGAGATGGTGGAACATAAGGAGTCAATTAACAATAGGAAAACACCAAGTCAGGCAAATAAAGAAATGAGAAATGAGTGCCATGAAAATAAATAATTGCATAAGAGAGATGATTATAGCTTCTTTTTTAAAATCAGCATTAAACAATATTTCCATGATGTAATAATAATGTAACAGTGACAACTGCTTTAACTAATATGTGTTGGATATTGTGTTGGCTAAGTCAGGCAGCAGATGGAGAGGGAATAGGAGGTGGATGGGTAAAAAAAGAAGATGGGTAAGATAGCTAAGGAGGTTTCCACATAGTGTTGAAGGAGTCACTTGATTATTTCTTGAAACTTATAGTAAAATGCAAAAGGAGGGAGTTAAATTGAGAGGACTGTTAGAGATGAGATCAAGGGTGTAACTGCAAAAACATTTGTTAAGACCTCAGAAAGAGCAAAGGTGGTGTCTCAAGTGCAGTAGTTCTCTTTCACCCATGGAGGATGTTTCAAGACCCCTGGTAGATGCTTAAAACTACAGTTTTGTACAGACAGTACAAACCCCTAAAAACACTTTCTTTCTTTTTTCTGTATACCTATGAAAAAGTTTAATTTACAAATTAGGCATAGTAAGGGATTACTTATAACAACTAATAAAATAGAATGAAGCAATATATTGTAATAAAATGTATGTGAAAGTATCTTTTTCTCTATCTCTCTTTTTTTTTTGGTGGTGTGGATTGAACCTGGGGTGTTTAACCACTGAGCCACATCTACAGCTCTTTTTAATATTTGATTTAGAGACACGGTTTTGCTGATGGCTAAGTGCCTGGTTAAGTTGCTGAGGCTGGCTTTGTACTTGTGATCCTCCTGCCTCAGCCTCCCAAGCTGCTGGTATTACAGGTATGTTCCACTGCACCTGGTTCTTCTCTTACTATATGGTATTTACGTTGATACAATGACTATGATTGAACGAAGTGAGGTGAGTGATGGAGGTCTTGTGATGTAGTGTTAGGCTATTTCCTAAGGCTTACTTGAATACAAGCAGTATGATACCACCTGACAGTCTATCTGATAACCAAAGCAGCTACTAAGTGACTAAGGGGAAGGTAGTATGCACCTGCCCACAGTGGGTTTGCCAAACAAAGGGACAATTCACATCTGGAGTGGACAATGATACAGCATGAGATACTAACATTTTATCATGTTAGTCAGAATGGTACACAATTTAAAACTTATGAATGGTTCATTTCTGGTATTTTTGATTTAATTTTTTAAAACATTTATTTTTTAGTTGGACACAATATCATCTTTATTTTATTTATTTATTTTTATGTGGTGCTGAGGATCAAACCCAGGGCCTTGCTAGGAGTCTGCTGAGCCACAACCCCAGCCCATCATTTAATATTTTTATATTATAAAAATCAAAACTGCGGCTAAGTTGGGGGGTTACTATACTATTTAGCCACATAAGAACTTTTAAAAATATTATGTGTATGCCTCAGATTTTCTCAAATAATATGCCTTTAGGAAGCTTAAGGGGTTTTATTTCTCAGTTGTCTCAGCAGGGGCTGAAGGCAGAGAAGGGTTTATCTAGCAAGGATTTGTGGATTTGACTTCTGCTTAATGGAGTAAGATCCAAGAAGACTGAAAGGTGACTCAAACAGATTATGTATGCAGGAATACCACTAGTTTGGCCTGAGAGGGTCAGAAAATAAAATAAAGAGAGCCATTTGGATCCTCAGAATTATGTCAAAAGGCAGGCTGAAGGAGGTGCTCAGTTGCAAATATATGCTATTTTTCACTTTTAAATAATGAGACTGAGGGCAGAACAAAGTACTCAAAGGACGGAACCAAGAGACACGAAAATTACCCTTGGCCTTAAGACTTAATGAAGAAACTCCTAACATTTGCCCTGCTGGACCAATGACTCCTTGTGACTCCTAATTCTCCCTTTTGAAAGAGAGTTATCTATCAGTCAAGGGTATCCTATGTCTGCCCCACCTCTGTGTGTTGTGCAAATGGGGAAAGAATTTTTCTCTTTAGTTTCATAGATTGAGAAGAAACATACTAAAAAATCTAAGCTTAGGGAACCTGCACCTGGACCTGACTTTAAGGATGAGATTATAAAATATAGTAATGGGATAAGACTTTTAGAAGCCTTAGAGGGGGTGAATATATTCTGTATATTGGAGGAATATAAATCATTAGAGGTCCGAGGGAAGACTATGGAAGCTAGAATCCATGACAATTCCCAACTATCTATCTTTCCCTGTGTTCATGCCCCTTTGCATTCCCTCCTCTTGAATCCAGTGGACTAAATTCACTGATTTGCTCCTAACAGAATATGTCAGAAGTGATGAGATGTCAACTTTGAGATTAGGTTATAAAAAGACTGTGGTTTCTGGCTTGACTACTCTTGCTTATTCCCTCTAGGATCAGTTGACCTGTGGGAAGCCAGCTGCAATGTTGTGAGACAACCATGTGGAGAGGCTCCCAGAGGGACTGAGGCAAGCCAACAACCACATGAGTAAGCTTCAGGGTGGACTCCCCGTTGATCCTTGCATTCGGCCCACAACTTGACTAGCACTTCATAAAAGATGTAAAGCCAGAAGCAATAAACTAAACCATGACTGTGACATAACAGAAACTTTGAGATAATACATTTTTTCTGTTTTAAGCTGCTGACTTTTGGACCATTTGTTATGCAAGAATAGATCAAAGCAAAGAAGAGAACTGAGATGCTGTCATGGAAAGGAAAAAGGTGAATCAGAGAGTGGATAGGTCATAGTCCCATGTTCTGTTATGAATCAAGAATGATTTTGGAAATAAAGAATGAAACAAATATGAAACAAGCAATGCTGAAGCGAATTGAAAATATACAGCAGAGAAAGATAAGGAGCAGAAGGGATAAGCTTTCTTGGTAAAGATTTCTCTATGATCTTTTTCGATCAACAAAAAGCTAGTTGAAGAAAAAAATGTCCACTGTGGTTTTTGAGGGGGACGGGATGGGTCATGGAACCACTGAAAGGCTTCTGACATCAGGCAGGCATCAGTGAAAAGTCAGAAAATCCCTTGCAAAGGTTTATATTCTGGGAAACATAATTACAAAGTCACTAGGGCTGGCTCTGAAATGACTGATGTTGAGAAGGAAGAGGGTGATGCAATCTCTGGGAGTAGGGAATTCATCATTTATTTTGGAAGCAATACCTGGGGAAAAAAAAGAACTGCTGGCAAATCTTTATATTCACGTTATTAAGCAGGCCAAGGATACTTATTGAGATGTGAAATGCTTGCTAGAGATGATGTAGTTGTATGGATTTTAAAACTTTTATATAGCTACAAATCTGCTGCTTGAAATACTGGACAGTTACACATGTGAGGCCCAGTTAGGCAAAGAAGGGAGCACCATTTATCTAAAAAGATGCTCCGCCTTGTGCTATTAAAGCCTGAATGTATATTATAGTTGACAGTTCAATGTCAGGTGATTCTTGTACATGCGAGAAGAAAAACTTATAAAAAAGAATAGCAACTAACAAATCTGAAGAAAGTTAAAAATTTAAATATTGTATAAAATAATTTCTGTTTTTTTTCTATTATAGGAAACATATAGCTGGTCATGTCAGCCAAATAAATTCCCGACACTGTGTTAGATACTATACTGGACACAAAAGAAATCCTGGCCCCAGTGCACTTCTGAACCAGCTGGAGACTCAAGCTCTATGTGCATGAACAACTAGAGAAAGGCTCCAGAAAGGATGGTGTGCCTGGTAAGAAACTTGGTCTTGTGGTGGGATGAGAACACAGGGGAGCTCACAGAGGAGCCAGAAGGAATATGTGGGTAGTCAGGGATGGAGTCAAGAACTCCAAGTTGGAGTTAGGAACCCTGCCCTAAAGGTCAAGGTGGGGGAGCCTTTCAAGGAGGGACCTATGTCGAGAAGGTCAAGAATGGGGCTAAAGAATGGATGCTGAGTTACAAGGCTCCAAGAGACCTCTGTAAACAGCAATGTCAGGAAGCTGACGGTTTACCAGCTGGGGCACATAGAGTGGAGATGGTATGAGTGGTGAGAAAACTCGGGTACTGGTATAGTCATCCTTCATTATAATCATTTCACAAATAATGAGTGCCAATTTGGGACAAAATTCTGTGGATGCACAGATAAAGTCTGTCCTTGGGGTGTACCAGGCTGGTGGGGGGGATCCAGATGGACATCACTCATATGAAGCAGAGGAACACAGATTCCCATGTAAATTCAGAGAAAGGAGAATTCTCTGGCTAGGGAAATGAGGAGGGTTGCAAAAAGGGGTTAGAGGATTTTGTATGGCTGACTTGGAGTCTTGAAAGGAATTTGGTAGAGAAAGAAATAGAAGGAAGAAGAAGGTGATTAAAAGAGGCAGTAAAACTTTAAGCTTTTGTATTTCCTTTTTTTGCTCAGCAGAAAATTTACAAAGGTATGGGACCAACAAAGCACACGGCAAATCCAATTTTCCAAGCTAACAGAGAAAGGATAGGGAAAAAGAGCAGTGGAAGCAGCAGAATCCTCAGAATCTGCTCCCAGCTAGCTGAGAGGGGACACAATCCCAGAGCTTGTTCTTTGTACAATGGAGCACCACTGACCACACAGTGTCACTGTGAAGATGATTTGAGTGAGTCACAGTGTGCCTTGTAGAGTGACTATTGTAATTGCTCAATAAAAGGTCTTTAACACTGTCAAAATCTGGGTAGCCAAAGATGGGCAAATGCTCCTAGAACTGAGAAATATATTTAACTTTCTTTTTTCTCATTTTTCTTCTCATTCCTATAGCCACCTTCCACTTACCTAACTTGATAGATAAAGAAGCTATAAAACAGGTAGGAATTTAGCAATGCAGATGGTATCACCAGTAAAAAGCCAATAATGATTCAGGCTTGTATGAGTTTATTAGTTCAAAGCTATTCTTTTACCAATGGACCAAAAGAAGTAAGGAGGAAGCGAGATGAAAAATCAAGGGGGAAAATAAGGAAAAAGAAAGCCAATAGGGTACAAAGAATATTTGGAAAAAAGTTCTGCAGATGGATACCAACTAGATCAAAGATCAAAGAAAACATGGTTGTGGTGTGCTTGGTGGGATTAATTAAGAAAAAATTAACTCCATTTTGAGGAAGTGCCTTGAAAAGGTAAGGATTTAACTTATAGGTCTTTGAAAGAATGACTAAAACTAAAGCTGGTTTAGGGCCTCTGAATAAAACATTCAATGGTTGGAGAGAAAACCCAGATGATTACATATTAAATATATACACCTTTTTATACTCCCTTTCCCACAAAGAAAAAATAACAAAATAAAAAAGATGAAGCGTATTTCATTATAATAGTGAATACTTTAGTGATTATTCTTTGACAACCACAGTTTGAAGTATTTAACATGTACTAATTCATTTAATCCCCATGCAGGAAGATGTAATCATTATTATCATTTTACCAAGATGGAGACTGAGGTAGAGAATTTAACTTGCCCATGATCACATAAGTGGCTAGGTTGTGGCTCAGTGGCAGAGTACTTGCCTAGCACGTGTGAGGCACTGGGTTTGAACCTCAGCACCACATAAAAATAAATGAATAAAATAAAGGAATTGTGTCCATCTGCAAATAAAAAAATATTTAAAAAAAATGGGATTACATCCCTGTCAATTAAAACAAACAAACAAACAAACAAAACCACTGTGCAAAATTGTGTTGCACAGTTATCCTCAGCCCAGTCACAAACTCTGAGTGGAGTTACCCTTTTGTGGAACAAATTTAGGGCATCAACAGTAAGAATAAGACAAAGAATCATTACTATTAAGAAAATAGTAACTTTGGATAGACAGCAGACAGTTCTTTAAAATTCACATGTGAATTTATCTGTTAAGTTTGAGGGATACAAAATTAGAAAAAGTTACATGGATGTGAGTGGCATTTCAAAGATGAGTCAAGAGATTTAAAAGGCAATAAACATCGATGTGGCAGTATCCCTGTAGTACGCTCTTTTAAGGTCTTCAGGGAATAGTCCGAGAAGGGCAATAGCTGCGTCAAATGGTGGTTCCATTCCCAGCTTTCCCAGGAATCTCCATACTGCTTTCCAAATTGGCCGCACCAATTTGCAGTCCCACCAGCAATGTACAAGAGTACCCTTTTCCCCACATCCTCGCCAGCACTTGTTGTTGTTTGACTTCAGAATGGCTGCCAATCTTACTGGAGTGAGATGGTATCTTAGGGTGGTTTTGATTTGTATTTCTCTGACTGCTAGAGATGGTGAGCATTTTTTCATGTACTTGTTGATTGATGGTATGTCCTCCTCTGAGAAGTGTCTGTTCAGGTCCTTGGCCCATTTGTTGATTGGGTTATTTGTTATCTTATTGTCTAATTTTTTGAGTTCTTTGTATACTCTGGATATTAGGGCTCTATCTGAAGTGTGAGGAGTAAAAATTTGTTCCCATGATATAGGCTCCCTATTTACCTCTCTTATTGTTTCTCTTGCTGAGAAAAAACTTTTTAGTTTAATTAAGTAAGTCCCATTTGTTGATTCTTGTTATTAACTCTTGTGCTATGGGTGTCCTATTAAGGAATTTGGAGCCCGACCCCACAATATGTAGATCGGAGCCAACTTTTTCTTCTATCAGACGCAGAGTCTCTGATTTGATATCAAGCTCCTTGATCCATTTGAGTTAACTTTTGTGCATGGCGAGAGAAGGGGATTCAGTTTCATTTTGTTGCATATGGATTTCCAGTTTTCCCAACACCATTTGTTGAAGATGCTATCCTTCCTCCATTGCATGCTTTTAGCCCCTTTATCAAATATAAGATAGTTGTAACTTTGTGGATTAGTCTCTGTGTCCTCTATTCTGTACCATTGGTTCACCCGCCTGTTTTGGTACCAGTACCATGCTGTACCACATGTACCACATCGATGTTCACAGCAGCACAATTCACAATAGCTAGACTGTGGAACCAACCCAGATGCCCTTCAATAGATGAATGGATAAAAAAAATGTGGCATTTATACACCATGGAGTATTACACAGCACTAAAAAATGACAAAATCATGGAATTTGCAGGGAAATGGATGGCACTAGAGCAGATTATGCTAAGTGAAGCTAGCCAATCCCTAAAAAACAATTGCCAAATGTCTTCTTTGATATAATGAGAGCAACTAAGAACAGAGCAGGGAGGAAGAGCAGGAGGAAAAGATTAACATTTAATAGAGACATGAGGTGGGAGGGAAAGGGAGAGAAAAGGGAAATTGCATGGAAATGGAAGGAGACCCTCATTGTTATACAAAATTACATATAAGAGGCTGTGAGGGGAATGGGAAAAAAAAACAAGGAGAGAAATGAATTACAGTAGATGGGGTAGAGAGAGAAGATGGGAGGGGAGGGGAGGGGGGATAGTAGAAGATAGGAAAGGTAGCAGAATACAACAGTTACTAATATGGCATTATGTAAAAATGTGGATGTGTAACCGATGTGATTCTGCAATCTGTATTTGGGGTAAAAATGGGAGTTCATAACCCACTTGAATCTAATGTATGAAATATGATATGTCAAGAGCTTTGTAATGTTTTGAACAACCAATAAAAAAATAAAATAAAAGGCAATAAAAATTAGATCTAGCAAGTAAAGCTTATCCAAATGTCCACTTGGAATAACATGAGGCAGCAAATTTCCTGATAAGAATACATACGACAGACCCTGATGCTGAGTAGAAATAAAACCCCAGGAACTTGCAGGCAGTATGGCTGCTACCATAATCATGCATTGCGTGTGGGGTGATGTTTCATATCTTAATGCTATTTGTCTCCTCCTAGGAACGACCCTTAAAAGAATAAGACTGAATATTCAGTTTAAAAGTGATATAAAATCTAAGATACTGTTATTGTGAAATACATTCATATAGTTAAACGAACACAAATCAAGGGGATGCACACCTTGCAGTTCATAATTATGGAAGCATAGCCTTTTTGAAGGCAGAGAAGGTGAAGCTTCCCTCAAATCCCACCACAACTGATAGTAGGGCACAGGAAGTGCTGTAGAAGGGTGGAAGAGGTGATCTTAGAATCCAACAGTAGCAGCTGTCCCAGTGACCATCACCTGTTTGGCTTTCTTTGAGGGGGCAGGAACTGGAGCTGTCTCTTGCTGTGTCATTTCTGTATCTCCTTCTTCATCATCTGATGCATCTAGGAAATACAAAGTTTGAAAATTAGAAAAGCGTCTCTCTCTTTCATACCCTGGTACCTCCTTTCTAGGAGGTTCTCTCTTGACTTTGTAAGGAAATGACCTAAAATGAAGGCAGTGATTTAAGCACTAAGATGTCAGTCTTATTTATAAACTAAAAAAACGAAGATTACCTACCTAGATGCCGAACATTAAAGAATGTTTATTTATGGAATACTCATACAAGGGAACTTTTTGCAGCCTTTGAAACATGTTTACTAAGAGATTACAATGAAAAAAAGCCATCTTATGATGATATAACATATAACAATGCTTAATAATTAAGCATTGTTATATGTTTAACAATGGGCTTCATAAATAGAATCTTCGATATCTAATTATCTAATTCTTGTAACTATTGATTTTATAGACATGATCCCCAGCCTTTCAGATAAGAAAACTGTTGTTTAAAGAGGTTATTTTTGTTAGTTTTACCATTGCTGTGACCAAAAGACCTGACAAGAACATGTAGAGGAGGAAAACATTTTGCATTGTTTTACACATAAGCTTTTGGGGGACACTTCATATATAAACCATAATAGAAGTGTTTTGTTCCAGGTCACACACTTGGGAGCACAGTTGAGTCTAAAGTCAGACATTGCAAGCGACTGCTCCACTGAGCATCAGACAGTCCTTGATACCTAGGTGTTGGTTGCCAGGAAAATGTTAAGAGACTATGACAAAGGATTATAGCTCATGATAAATTCCTATTTTGAATTTACTTATCTTTCCATAATGGAAAAAGACATTCTTATACTAAGGATTAGGAAAAATAAAAGTTTTCCTATAGAGCTCTCCTGAAAAAACATGGCAACCAGAAGGTTCTTACTTCTTATGATGCCATTACTGCCTTTAAGGTTCTAGTGGTTTCTCCCTTTAGACAAATTTTTGGTCTTTTTTTTTTTTTTTTTGGTCCCAGGGATGGAACCCAGAAGTGCTTAACCACTACGCCACATACTCTGCCCTTTTAAATATTTTATTTAGAGACAGGTTCTCCCTAAGTTGCTTAGGGCCTCACTGAATTGCCGAGGCTGGCTTCTAACTCATGATTCTCCTTCCTCAGCCACTGGAGCCACTGGGATTACAGGTGCCCGGCAAATTTTGGTCTTTAAAAGGCTTGATTCATTCTCTTTAGGTATCTTTATATATCTCAAAGTGAGTCCAATGTGTAAATTTGTGATCAACTTGGTCAGAATTCATATTTAGGTCAAAATTAGTAAGTTTAGTTGGTCAGAGCTTATAAATAGTTGCATTTTGTGCCCAATTGAATGGGTCCCAGAGTGTTCAGATTCTTGTCAAAAGTTATTTTGGATATTTCTGAGACTATTTTTGGAGACATTAACATTTAAGTGGGTTGACTAAAAAAATTTTCAAAATTCCTGTTTTTAGCAGTACTGTTGTTCTTTCATATTTAAAATAACATCTTTTATACCTAATTCTGTATCTGTAATTCTGCGTTCTTTTTCTTAGAGAGGGTTCCCCAAATTGCGTAAGGTTTGGGCCTCATAAAAACTTAGATTTTCCCTGGCTAACAACCTCGCTGATCTCATATTTGAGAACAGAATAAAACAAGCTATGGAAACACACAACAACATGGATAAATTTTCAAAGCATGGTGCTAAGTAAAAGAAGTCAGACTCAATGAGCTATATAATGTATGATTCCATGTATTTAACATTCTGGGAGAGGCATAACTATAGTGACAGAAACAGGTCTGTAGTTACAGGAGATTGGAGGAGGGGACTTCTTGGTTGCAATGGAAATGTTCTATATCTTGATTGTGGTGGTGGCAACACTACTGTATGCATTGATCATAATCAAAGAAGTGAACTGTAAATCTTAACATATGTAAATTATTCCTCAGAAAATATGATAGAAGCTAATTTATAACACTTGCTCAACATCACACATCTATTGGCAGAGCTGGTATTTGAACCCCAGATATTCTAATCTGAGAGTTCGTGATATTAATCCAACACTACTACCCTTACCTCAAAACATGCTGCTTACAGTTCATTAGGTTCCTGTATTCTTCTGCCAAGAGGTCTCTTGGTTGCTTTTATTTTTAAATAATGAATAAGAGTAGAATATAATGCCATGCTTTTTGTTTGCATTCATTGAGATAATCATATTTTTTCCCCTTATAATCTGTTAACATGATGATGCAAGAATAGATTGACAATGGTAAACCATCCTTGTTATTTCCAGGATAAACCCCAACTGGTTGTGTTAGTTTAATAGATTTTTTTTCCATCAATGTTTAAAAGTCAGAATGACATAATTTTCTTTTCTAGTATTTCCCTTGTCTGCTTTAGGTTTTGAGGTTATAGAATATCTTTCATAAAAGATCTGGGAAATTTCTTCTTTTTAAAATTCTCTGAAATAGTTATATACAGTTGAAATTGTATGTTACTTGTTATTTGGTGAAATCTGTCAGAATAACCAGCAAAGTGTATTAGTATTCTTTGTGTGTATATTTTAAATTAATGCTTCAACGTCTAATGGTTATATGATTATTCAGATTTTTCTATCTATTCTTAATTCAGCTTTGGTCGGCATTATTTTTTTCTTGTTAATTGGCTATTTTATATAAATTTTCAAATTTACCGGGAAGAGTTCATCATATGTGCCTATTTCTCCTTTTCCCTTCATTTTATTTGAATCTTTTTTCTTTTTAAAATTTTTTAAAAAATATATTTTTAGTTGTTGATAGATCTTTATTTCGTTTATTTATATGCAGTGCTGAGAATCGAACCCAGTGCCTCACACATGCCCCTCAAGTACAGTAATGCTGAGCCACAGCCTCAGCCCTGCATCTTCTTTCTTCTTGCTAGAGAGCTTTCTTTTTCAAAACCAGGTTCTTCATTTATTGATATTTTATACATAGCTATGATTTCATTTATAAGAGTGGAACTTATTTTCTGAATGTTTTCTTTATTGATTTTGTAATATTTTGTGGTTGGGCATTTATTTAGTCCATTAGTGTTTCTGATATAAGCATCAAAGCTATACACTCCTTCTTGAAATAATTTAAGCTAAATAGCATTTTTATTATCATTGAATTGTAAATGTGTTAAAGTTTCTGAAGTTTTCAGCTTGAGCTGCCCAGTAAAATACTACAGACTGGTTTAAATGAGACATACTTATTTTCTTATGGTTCTGGAGGCTGGAAGTTGAGATGGGGGTACCAACATGGTCAGGTTCTGGTGAGGACTTTCTTCCTGGCTCGCTGAAAGCTGCCTTCTCACTGTGTCCTCACATGGTAGGCAGAGTGAACCAGCTCTCTGGTGTGTCGTCATAAATGTACATATTTTATCCTGGGGGCCACATCCTTATGACCTCATTTAACCTCATTACTTCCCCAAAGCCTTATCTCCAAATACCATCATACTGATTATTAGGGGAATACAAATATTTAGTTCATAATGTTTTCCCTTACAACTTTTCTTTGGTCCACTAGTTATTAAGAAGTATATATATATATTTTTTTTAGGGATTTGTTTATTTATTTTGTTAATTGTGCTGTATATGTGTAATAAGAATTGTAATGCATTCTGTTGTCATTTTTTTAAAGCGCGCGAGAGAGAATTTTAATATTTATTTTTTAGTTTTTGGCGGACACAACATCTTTGTTTGGATGTGGTACTAAGGATCGAACCCGGGCTGCATGCATGCCAGGCGAGCACGCTACCACTTGAACCACATCCCCAGCCCTGTCATTTATTTTTTAAAAAATCAATAAAAAATAAATTTCCTGGGAAAAGTGGATTATCTTTACATTTGTATAATTGCCTGTTTATCTCCCAAGAAGTGTATTTTTGGATTGCTAAACATATTTAAAAAAGTCATCCTTTTGTTGCATTGTGGTTAGAAAACAATGAAAAAAGAAAAGTGGCCTATATATATTCTTTAAATTTTTTTTTTAAATTGTAGATGGACACAATGCGGTGCTGAGGATCGAACCCAGTGCCTTACATGTGCCAGGCAGGTGCTCTACCACTGAGTTACAAACCCAGGCCCTACATATGGATTCGCCCTACATATGGATTCTTTATCATTTGTCAAGACTTGCTTCATTGTCCAGCACAGGAATTTGGCAAACTTTTTGGGTAAAGCACCATATAATATGTAGATGTTGGGTTTGCAGAGCATTAAGGCCACTGTTGTTATGGTTCTACTCTGCTGTTGTGCTGTGAGGCAGCCTTGGGCAATGGATGTAGATGGTAATGGCTTTGTACTGATACATTTAATCTACAGAAACTCATCCTGGTTGGATTTGGCCCCTGTGCCATAGGATATAGTGAATTTTTAAAAATGTCTCAGGGTTTTTGAAAACCCTGAGATTCCAAAGTATGATCATAGACAAACTTGTTATGTTTTTTGAAATCTGTTCTGTTTATGATTTTTTTGTGCTTTATCAGTTAAAAGGTATGTATTAACATCTTCTCATTTTGAATTTGTCCATATTTTCTAGTGATTCTACATATTTCATTATTTTATCTGGCACATGCAAGTTCAAATGGTGAAGGCTTCCTGCTGAATTGTTCCTTTTATCATTTTGTTCTGATTGTTTAAAAAAATTACATCTAGTTTAATTTAGTTCAATTTCACTTTGAGGGGGTCGTTCTCTATTTTTAGAAGTGATCATTTGTTTTCTGGGAAAGCAATGCTATACAATCTGAAAAAGTAATGCTGGATACACAGCTGTACTTAAACAGTCTAAAGTGTTTTGCTAAAATTACTCATCTCTAGGAGCCAGAATGTTTTATTTGGCTAGGAGAACCAGCACTGGGAACTACTCTTCAAGAACCCTGTTCCCAGCTCATTAAGAGACTCCCACCAGCATTACTGAGAAAGAACACAATTCCCACATCGAAAGAACAGGGCCCTGAGACTGAACTCTGTGAAGGCCGCAAGGCCATGCTAGTAACACAGAGCATAGGGGAGGACAGGCAGTGAGCAGCCTGGCCATGGAAGAAGAGGCTCATGATTGGACTCGACCTTTACTAACAGGTTGTGCAGTGGAGGAAGGAAGCTGTTTCTTCATTGTTCTGTTCACTTTGCAAAATAATTACTAGTTATACCATGACTAAAACAGAAGGTTTTATAATCCATTCGGCCACCCCTGAAAAGAATCACAATGTCTTTAAGTGTATTTCTCACTCTAATTATTCAGAACACCCGCTCTCTATTCTTGTTGTCTCTCTGTTTTTATCAGAATCTTACCTCTAACCTCCAAAATTCAGCTCAAGTTTCACCTCTGTGAAGACTCCAAATGCAGAAACAAGATTATCTGAGGGCTAAAATGCAGCAAGCAGTTGCAACTTTCAATGAGAAAGGAAAATGTAGAGAAAAGGTGATCAGGGCCTGTGAAAATGAAGGATTCAGGGAAGGAGATGGCAGAAAGGAAAGCATATTCAACTCCAAGTTTGTTGTGCCCAATACGGGGCATCTAGTTGCTGTGAGGGGCTTCTCAGAGAAGCTCAGGCAGGCAGGCCCTTCAGTTTCTGGGTCTTTGCTGGCTATGCAGGTCTAGGTCTAGTTGCTGGGATACTGGAACACTCAGTCTTTCTTAGGCTTGTGGTGGTTTATCACGCTGTATGTTAGTTGAACTTGTGCTCTCCAGTTTTGTTTTGTTTTCCTGGCTATCAAGTTTTCCTCATTTGCCTTTTCACTCTCTTACATATAGCAAGAAACTGGGCATGATTTAACCTCTTCTATCTCTCAAAATCCTTAGGATCTCTTCTCCCTGTCTCCAAATTTTTTTAAAAAATCAAATGCTTCTGGTTAAGTCTATGTGTGTTGGTTTTATCAGAAGTTTTAGAATCACTCTGAGCTGTAATGAGGAGTGGGGTGATCCTTTAATTTTGCCATTTCTAATAGTAATGGGTACAATCTAATCTACATTCCAATAACACTCCTGTTTTCATAGCTGAGGATGTCCCTAGCAACACATCTTGAGTTTTGCTTACAAAATATGCTGCCAGTTCCCAGAGGCAACTTTAAAGTAAAAAAATTTGGAACAGGATGGCAAAACATGACCTGTGGTCACTTTATGAGTCCTGACACTCTGATAAAGGTAAAGCACTAAGATCAACAAGACCACCTCAACAGCACTTGACTGAAGAAAAGTGTTTTCCCTTCTTTTTGTCAGGAGGTTGAATACTATAAAATTTCTCTTGCTACTTTCAAGTCAGCAGAACTAAATCTTAAAGGTTATTTTGTATAAGTCTGACTACTCAATTTTAAGTGTTACCACATTTACTTAAAATGCACACAGGAAAGTCTCCTCAGGAAGGGCCATGAACCTGACCCTTGATTCGAATGCTGGGACTTAGGCCTGAACAGTGACAGTGGGAAGGACCTCTTATGTCAAAAATTGGTGCCTTGGGACCTCCCCTACCATGTTACAGAAAGGATGCATGGATTGTGTTGACATCAGGGAACAGCTTTGCAGATAGGAACACTACCTGCTTGCTGTCTGGTCTTACAATAAGGTATTCCTTCTCCCCTTTGATCTTATTTTATTTTTAGCTTAAAGAAAAAGCAAAGATAAGTTGGTTTAGGTGACATGAACACAACTTCAGTCTTGAGTGTTAAACCTTGACCCTTCTCCCTCTCTAGTTTTAAATTTTGGAACATTTACATATTTGGGGCCAGTTTTCAAACTATGAGTAATTTCGAATCAACCTTTTCTGGCCAATTTTGTAGTTAGGTGATAGAGCCACAGATGCTGGCAGGGGCATTTTTGGCCTTAATATATTTGTTACTTTATTGAATGAACATATTTGTTATGTTTGCATGCACTATTATATAAATTCTCCATTCCTGGACTAGAAGCTAATAATAAATAGCTTTTATATAGTCCTTACTTTGTGTAAGACACTATTTTGAATACGCCACATAAATGAGCATAATTACATAAACATAACTACATAAACAACCAAGAGGGCCTGAATTTAACTCTCATGTTAGACTTTCAAAATGTAGACTGCTAATACTATCTGCTTTATAGAGTGGAAACCAAGACTTCTCACTGTTAATGAGAGAGAGCCAGGACTTAGACCCAGGCAGTCTTAATTCCAAGTCTGTTCTTAACTACTATGCAATATTTCCCCTCTAACTTGGAAAGCAAATTAAATAGTTCTCTGGTGGTATTAGAATCCATGGGCCTTTGAGGAGAGAGTCTATTTTAGTATAATAATGAACATTATCTTTGATTAACTCTCATCTAACTAAAGCAGAAGGTATTAAATATAGGCAATAGGAAGCACATCTCTTCCAAACAACCCAAAACTAATTGTATCGGATCGGTCAGGAACTTTCCCCAACTCCCCTGTCCCATTTTATATTTTAGCTGGGGAGAAAATATATCCTGGTTTGTCTGGGCTAGTCTTGATTTATGCTTATCCCTACATCCCAACTGCTTTAGTACCTGTCTTCCTGCAGTAATATGCTTACTATCCTTAAGTGAGGGAATGGAGATGAGAACTTCCTTAGGCTTCTTTGATTCCTAAATGCTGATCTTTGCAGAACACCTTTTAACAATTTCCAGAACAGTGTGCTCTGTGTGTTTATTTTGAGAAGTGTCAGTATAGAAGAGTTATGGGAGACAACCTAGAGGACCTAAATTTTAGTTCCAAATTTTGTGATCTTGGGCAAATCACTTACTCAGTGCTACAGTATTCTCATTTGTAGACTGATGAAGTCATACTGCTGTGATTTATGATTCTCTTATGATTCAGGCCATCTTCTTGTAGAATGCTATATACCCTGGACACGTTAAAGTTTCCACAGTGTGGTGGAACACTGAAATACAGAGGGATAGGGTAACATATTAAAGAATATGGGTGAACATAACCCATTTCGTGGGTGTGCAAGTTACATAATTTCCCCTCAACAGAAATTGCATAAGAAAAAAGCCTATTTAGGTTGCAGCTAGCTCTGGTACCTACTCTTATTATAAAGTATAATCCCCAGGAAGATGCATGTTACAATGGAAAGCATCCTGTTTCCATTAGGACTGCCCTTTACCCTCTAGAGACTTCAGCTACCTATTAGATTACTTACAGTATGCCCTTGATGTACATCTTGTAGATTGTTAAAGGTGAGTGTGATGTTCATGTGTCCTGCTTCAGAATGGTTAGCTATGTTACACAGCTTTTCAATGGAAAAAGCCCTCTCCTGACTGCCTTTTCATGTACCTTAGAACAAAGCACTTTATTGCTTAATCCTTGAAGTTTCCTATTGGTAAATTGGGCTTAAAGATATTAGTCTATCAACTAATTATCACTTACATGGCAAACATATTTGGGTTTGGAATGATCTTCAAGAACCATAACTAGCTGTGCGCAGTGGCGCACACCTATAATCCCAGTGCCTCTGGAGGCTGAGGCAGGAGGATCAGGAGTTCAAAGGCAGCCTCAGAAATGGTGAGGTGCTTAGTAACTCAGTGAGTCTCTGTCTCTAAACAAAATACAAAATAGGGCTGGGGATGTGGCTCAGTGGGGTGGGGTAGGCAAAGATGAAACAGTTTATGGACTCAATTTGCCAGTACTATTCTAACAATGAGACTATAGAAAAGCAAAACCAAACAAATTTGGTCCTACTATAAAAAGATGTTCCTGCTATAGATATCCACTATTATAATTTGATGCATTTATTTCAACCTTTTGTTCTTTCTGAGTATATGTACATGTATATACATATGCACAGAACTTTACACACCCAGAATTGCATCATATACAAATACTTTATACTTTAATATTATATCATGATATCATGTCATTAAATAATTAACATAAGTAATTTAGCTATAACAAACCATTGTTTGCCTGTACTATATTAATTTGTTCTATCATTACTTAGATTATTTCTAAAAATTAGCCTTTATAAATATGGTATAATAGATATCTTTATACATAACATTTTATGTATTTCTATTTAGGAAAGATTTCTAGAAGGAAAATTTCATCATAAAAGGGTATGAATGACTTACAGAGTCTTAACTTGTATTTTCCATAAGGTCTTGGGTTAACTTGTAAGTCATCTTTACTGTATAAGACAGGTATAAAAATACCTGTCTTATATCCACCCCCAGCAATCATTGGATATTATCTTTTTAACGTTGCTAATGGGTAAAACTGATATAGCATTTTAATTTGCATTCATTTGATTATGACTGAGACTAAATATTTTACTTTTTATTAGTTATGTGAATTATACATGAATAGAGTATTCTTAAACTTTGTTCATTTGTCAAATGAGGGTTTTAATATTTTACCTATTAATCTGCTTTGAACTTTTAATATTAAGGCCAATTCTTTTTTTAAAATTTGTTTTAATTAGATAAACATGACAGTACAATGATCTTGACATATCATACATTTGAATCAGATGGGGCATAATTTCTTATTTTTCTAAGTGTACAGGTTGCAGAATCACATTGGTCATGCCGTCACATATATACATACAGCAATAATAATGTCTATTTTATTCTGCTGTCTTTCCTTTTCCCCCATCCCCTCCCATCACTTTTCTCTACCCAATCTAATGTGACACACTTCTTTTTTTTTCTTTTCCCTCACTTCATCATACATGTATTCTATATAATGATGAGGGTCTCCTTCCATCTTCCGTACAATTCCCCTTCTCCCTCCCTTTCCCTCCCACCTCTCTTTTAGGCCAATTCTTAACGTTGTTTTATTTTTTAATTTTAAAAATCATTTCTGATCTTATGGACGTATCCAATTATGATGTGATCAAATTATCATATATTTCCATTGTAATTTTTCTTAGGAAAGTTCTCCAAAATATCCCAAAGTAGCTACTTTTATCAATTATTTTTTAGTGAGTTAAATATATATTTTTTTAACATTTAACTGAAATCCATAGAGAAGAATCTATTGTATGGTATCAACTGAAGCTCTACCTTTCAAATATTTAATCAATTGTCCTAATTTTGTGTTGAATAATTCTTCTCTTCATTATTGTCTTGTGATGGCACTTTAATTAAAACACCAATCATATATATTCTAGGGTATGGTTTCATTGATCTGTCCATGAGTCTTTTCTGTTGGTACCATATTTCAATCTTATTCAAAAAAAAAAAAAAACAACAACATACTGAGCTCTCTTTTTTTCTACTTTGATAAATGGCTACCACACTGGGGTGTAGGGAGTAGTAAGGAAGGGAGAGCCAGACTTAGGCTAAAATCTCAGAGAATTGGGCAAAAGCCAAGGATGGATGGAGGTGAGCAGGGATGCTTGGGTAGAAGATCATGCTAAATCCAGAACACACTGATTCACATAACATCCCTGCCACCCAATAGCTATTGAGTTTTAGGTAAGTTGACTCATGTTTTTTTTTTTTTTTTTGCCTTTTTTTCTAATATATTAAATGAGGTAGCTGAGAGGATCATGTAAATTAGTGTAAAATACTTAGAACAGTGCATGGCCCATGGTAAGCACCATTTTCTCTCAAATGAAGCTACCTTCCTACTCCCTAAGAAAGCTCAATGTTGGTTTTTTTGAAATAATATTGAGATATGGTACCAACAGAGAAGACCCATGGACGACAGATCAAGGAAAATATACCCTAAAATATATATGATTTACTCCTGAAAAGGACACCAATAATCCCCTAATTGTCACATAAATATATTGCAGGGGTTAAAATGACAAGGTCTCCAGAATCAGGATGCCAAGATTGGAACCATACCTCTGTCACTTACAAGATGTGAGGTCTTGGAAAAGTTACTGGCTCTTTTTGCATCTTAGTTTTCTCATCTATAAAATGGGGTATTAATCGTGCCTACCTTATTGGGTTGTTAGAGTTCTATCATAATGAATAAACTGTTAACACAGCATGGTACACAAATTCTCATGAAATGGCCATCAGAGTCATCATTTTACTTAACTGCCCTGGGGCACTCAACACTGATAGACCCTCAAGTTTTTGCCACTTTCCCCTTTGTTTTTTGGAGTAATGTAGTGATTTCATTCTCACACCTCACATACTTTTCTTTCACTATTCCCTAACATCCTCCAAGGTATCTTCAAACACTTACTTGGTTCCTTTCTCTAAGCCAGCACATGACATTTTTTTTTTTTTTTTAATTCAAAGACCAGATAGTAATACTTTCAGCTCATGGGCCATGTGTTCTCTATCAAAACTGCACATTGTGCTATATGGAAACCACCGATATAATGTAAATGAGTGGGTACAGCTGTGCTACAACAAAATTTGATACACAAAAGCAGGCAGCCTGCCCATAAGCCAGAGTTTGCCAACTATTCCTGTAGGAATTGTTCCAGCTCAGGTATTCATCGATTAGAATACTCATCATATTACATCTGTCCTCCCTACTGGGCTGTGAGCCAGCTACCTGAGGGCAGGGTGTCCTTTCACCTTATATGTCCTGCATGTAGTAGAAATTCTGGTAAATCTATTCAATCAACATCTGCTGAAACAATGAATGAAATGACCATATAATATGAGTCTTAAAGCTTGTTGTGTTAGCTATAGGGAAGGGGACATTATTCCATGTGAACCCTTCAGTAGCTACCAAAATAAGCTACAGAGAAGACCTCATGTCTTGCATAGTACACTGAAACATCTTGTAGAATTAATCCTTCTTTCCTAAATGAGAGGAAAACTCAAGTCCAGGAAATTCACAAC